GTGATCCACGGCAAGAGGCAATATGTCCCTGAGTTCCCAGAGGTAAGTTCTGAGGAGGAAGGGGCAGCTGAGGGGGGAGAGGAGCCCTCTGCACCCTTAGCAGCAGCAAGTTGTGATGAGTCTCCAGGGGAGGGAGGGGAAGGAAGGAAGGGAGGAGTCGGCCCCTTTCCTAAGACAGCTCTCAATGCAAGCAAAAGCCAAATGGATTTTGCTACAGAGCAAAAGTGCAGACACTTCCCTAGAAAGCATATGAGAGGCTGTTGTGAGACGCTACCGGTGTGGTGCTCTGCTCTGTTCAATGTTGATATCAATCGGGTGTGTTAGTCTCTAAGGTGCCACAAGTACTCCTGTTCTTTTTGCGGATACAGACTAACACGGCTGCTACTCTGAATCGGGTGTGTGTGTTCCCTCTGTGTGCTGTCCCAGCTCTGCGCAGATAGCTGACACAGCAGACCCCGAGAGAACCCCCAGTGACCACAGACTCTAGTAAGGTACGAAGGCACGCCGGCCAGGTTTATTGTCAAAGAGAAACACAGTCTCCAGCTCCCCGGCATAGAAGTCCAAGGTGCTGCTGAGGTGCGGCTAGCTAGTACTTATGTGCTCCCTGACAATGGACTCAGCTCAGTCAGTGGCGGGACTTTCCACTGCCCCCTAGGCTGGACCAAGCCACCGCCCCAGGGATGCATTCTTATACACAGATACAAACAAGTTACACATCACTCCTGACGTATTGAAGTGCAACCCCTCTATGTAGCAAGGTACAACCAGGGCCGGCTGTAGCAAGAGCGGGGCCTGATTCCTGGGGGCGGGGCTTGCTGCAAGCCCCGCCCCCAGGAATCGAACCACGCTCCGGCCGGGGTCGCGGGGCTTGGGTCCGGCCTGGAGCCGGTCGGCGGCCGGAGCCGAGCCGCGGGGGCCGGGCCGGGGGGCAGGGCCGGTCCCGAGCCGCGCCGCGGGGGCCGGGCTGGACCCGAGCCGCGCCGCACCGCGGGGGCCGGGCCAGACCCACCCCCCGCAACAGGCCGATGAGCAGAGCAAGCCCTGCTGGGCAGTTCAGCACTCGCAGAAATCTCCGGGGGAGTGGCACGTTCCCCTCCCCCCGTACCCCTCATGCCTCGCCTGTGGGAGGGCATTGCTCCCCTTGCCCCACCACAGACTATGCCCATGGTCAAAAGGTACAAAATGCAGAACTCATGGAAGGGGTTTTGAAGTGGTGGAAAGGGTTAACAATGTTCCCTACAATGTGTAGAGGCCCCCCAACAGGATTACACCTCAGACTGTGTCTGCAAACAGGTGAAAAGTATATCACAATTGTGGAGCCAATGTACCCGTGATATGCTGTGCAGCGGAGGACTGTAAGACAGCCCCTCGGAGTGATCTAATGACTGAATGCCATAGTGACGCCCCACTAAAGAGCACATGCCCCACAGCAGGCACAGATGAAGCTTCCATATGCGAACTGCAGGTGGAAGCCCGGTGCCCTGGGTACCCCCAGGAAGCATCACAATCCTCCTTACTGCTTAGGAATACGGCACTTATTTTTCCTGTTAGACTTCGCCTGACTTTAACTTCCAGCCATTAATTCTTGTTCTCCCTGCATGATGCCAGGGTATTCTGGAGATCCAATGTATTCAAATATGGCCAAGCTCGGACCTTATCCACAGTTTTTGGGTGAAAGATCAATGGTGTGTCTGTGCCCACTGTTATTATGGGGGACTGTGACAGGGTCAAGACTCACCACCGCTGGCACCTCCCGCTGGTTGCTCCGGGAATTAGTTCTGTCCAGTCATGGAGCCCCTTTTGCATGTGGTGCCTTCCCCTTCGTCAGCTCTGCTGCTTTGGGGACCCGCGTTGCTCCCCGCTTGGCGGCATCCTCTTCAGGACACTGCCCTCCAGCAGTGCCCACTGCTCCGGTCTCTCCCCCTTCCAGGGGTTTGGTGTTATCAGCAGTCTTTGGTTTGCACCTGCTCTAGTGGCCAACTGCAGCCTCAAAGTCTAGCCCCTTTGTCACAGGGGCCAGCCACAGCCACACAGCCAAGTGTAGTACAAGCGGGAAGGGGGGGACCCAGGCCCTCACGCTACTCTGGGTCCCGACCCAGGGACCCTCTAGCGGCAGCCTCTCTGCCCTCCTTTTCTCCCCTTGTCCAACTATTGTCCCTGGGCCACTTCCCCTTCTGCCCTGTGCACCTGCTCAGCCCCTTTGTAGCAAGGCCTGCAGCCTGGGATTTTCCTTGGCCAGAGCTCCCCAGCTCCTTCTGCCCTTCCCCAGCACTGCTCTGTACAAGGTGCTACCTTTCAGCTCAGAAGCCAGTCCTCCTTCCTTGCCAGTCAGGGAGAGACTGCCCTGCTCTTTGCTAGGCAGCCTTTATAGAGGACCTAGCCCGGGCCTGATTGGCTGCCTCTTCTCCTGCCCTGATTGGCTCTCCCCAGGCCTTTACTGATTGGCTGCTGGTCCGCGCAGCCTCTCTGGCCTGGTTCAGCCCTTTTTTTTCAGGGGGTGGGGCACCACCCCACCACAGGGACCTAGCCTATCCTCTACTGCCCTAGCTCATTAAGGCCTACTCTGGTGTGGGAACACATGGCAAAAGACAGTCTGACTATGCCCTGAGCAGGTGCTGGAATGTGCATTTGGCCAGCTAAAGGCAGGAGGGTGTTGCCTACAAGCCATTTGGACTGCAGTGTATAAAATGCCATTCATGTGATTGAGGCATGCTGTGTACTGCACAAGGATGTGAGGATACGTGGGAGTACTTTGGCCAGGAATGGGTCACTTGTACTGTTTTATGGCCCTCATCCAGCCAACCAGAAAGTGCACCTCTGAAAACTGAGACTGGGTTCAGGAAAGCATGGGAAATACCTCTCTGCATCATAACGAGACAGAAATTGCAACTTTATCTCCCTTTGCATCCCATCCCATCCATCCCTACACTTCTCTGCTTATAGCCTGCGTGTGCCAGGTTCCTTCTCCCTAACAAGAAAATGGCAATTGCTTTCTGTTTATTGCCACAAATGTTTTGGCATTTGTGTGTGGCTTTGGGTCATTAGCTTGATGTGGCAAAGAATGGAGGGCTGTGAGGGGAAGGCCAGGGATGTAGATGGTCTTACAGTTTTTTCAGGCTGTGGTGGCATTGGCTGATGAGAGCTTGCTGGAGATCCCTGGCTGGAAAAGAGGAACAGTTCTTCCAGGTCTGTGGTAGAAAACCATCCCTGTGTGCCATGGAACTATTTCATTGTCTGGTGACAGATGGGAAGATTAATTATTTATTAGAGACGCCTAGTGAGCTACAAGCTGTGGGGCATGGGGAGTTTGTCTTGCCCCAAAATCTGTCTCTTGGGAGTTCCTGTAGAATGAAAAATTCTTCTGCATCATTCCACAAGTGGACCAAAATTTGCACCATCATAAGCAAGGATGCAGCAGCATAGAACCACCATGAATGTGCCTTTGCAACCTTTCCCCCCACCCCCGCTTTTGCCTTACTACCACTGAATAGCTCAGCTCGGGCAGTCCTGTAATGTCATAGGAGGATCCGAGGAGCCCTAGTTTTTTTTTTGTTTCATTCCTGTAACTCTACAAAAAAGTTATAAAACACTGAAACTTTTCAAAAGCAGCCCAATTTATTGGAAGCAGGCAGTATTTCAGGAACACCTTGACCAAATGACCTCAAATTTGCTTCAGTCTGCTCAACCCTTCTTATGGCATAATTATCCAAGACAATCTCCCCATGCTGGTGAATTTTGGATATTAAAAGCAGCTCATCTGTGGTTTGAGGAGGGGAGGGGCATGTGGCTGGGGAACCACTGGGCCAAATGACTCCATACTTTCACCACTAATGCTACCTCTGGTCCTGGTGAGGCATTACAATCTTAAAGAAACTTTGAAAAATTGGCTCTGAAACAGAAAGCTCCGCTTAGCGTTAACTATGGAGTCACTAGTGCTCCATAGTATTTCCAATCACTGTTCAGACAGAACTAGTGAACCCTAACAGCAACCGTGTGAGGAAGGTAAGTCCTTTCATCCCCATTTTACAGATGAGGAAAATGAAGCATTCAAATAGGTCAAAATATTTAGGTACTTCAGTAAGTAGCCTGTTGGGTTTTTTTTCTTCAGATCCTGGGCTCTGAATTGCATAAAAGATAGAAATAAAATAGCCAACTATGATGTGTTGGAGAGGAGTTCATTAAAAAATGTTCTGCAGAGCTGTTATTTTGAGGCATTTTCAGACAATGTCCTTGAAAAATAGTGCAGCCCTATTCACCTGCATTGTGATGCTATCACCGTCTGTCCGATACTATCCCCATACTCGGCATGTTTTCAGGAGCAAGTTCTACACATTTCACACAAAGTGCAGTTTCACAGAAATTTGTTGTCCAAGAAATGCTGCCTCCCTTCTTGGCTATGAGAGAGCATATTTGTTTCAATGGGCAAACACATCAGTATATTCCTTGTCTTCACCCCAGAGCATGAAGTTTCATCACAAACTGTTGGTGGGATTTTCCCCTTGTTAAAATATAAGCAGCACAGCTCTGCTTACAGTATTATGTTATAGGCATAAAACATCCATACTGGAGCTGTCCACTGCAAGGGTAAAACTTGCCTGTGCGGGAGATGGAACTTTCACAGGGGCAATCCAAGGCTGTAGAATGAACTCCAACAAGATCTAAGACTTGACTCAAATGTCCTCACCGTCCATTCCAAGTGCCAGACATGCTGCTTTGACCTTGCCTTCACTAACAAACCTAGCACAGCAGACATAATATTAAAAATAAACAACTATAAAACCCTCAGATAATTTTCTTCAAGAGGAAAAAGAAGCAAGGGGAAAAACCCTTGACAAATGCTACCCCTCTTGTGCAATGCACTTCTGGAAGGTGCTGTGGTGCTAAAGTGATGAGGATGGTATAAGCCTTTGAATGACCTGGTATGGAAAATGCCCTTTGGACTTTGCTATATGACTGACTCTTTTTTTCTGCTTTTCCACTTCTCTTCCCTGTCTGGCTAGTGCTGCTGGTGGTTTTCCAGTGGACTTCAGAAGCAGCAAGACCTCTGGAAAGAAAAGTTGCAGCCGTGGGATCCTCGGTGCTGCTGTCTGCACCAGACAACATAAAAGACATCAACTTCATCCAGTGGGAATATCTAAATGGCAACATATCAGACTTCATTGTGCAATACTACGTGGGGTCACTGGAGCCAACTATCTATGCGCACTATGGAGACAGAGTCGTTTTCTATTCAACTAATGGCTCCCTCTTGCTGGAAAAACTACAAGAGACAGACAGCGGGGTCTACAAAGCCAGTATCAATCTGATTGAGAACGAAGCCAGGACAACCCTTCTGAAAGTTCTCAGTAAGTGAGAGACACTGAGGAGATGGTCTTACTCTTCCAACGTTTACAAATCAGTACATTAGAAGGATCCATTCAATCCAGGGTGTGAATGGGAATAGTCATAATGGAGGGAGAATTTCATCAAGCCACAAAGGAGTTGGGAAGGCCAAGACTATAACAAGGTTCAAAAAAGAACTAGATAAGTTCATGGAGGATAGGTCCAGCAATGGCTATTAGCCAGGATGGGCAGGGATGGTGTCCCTAGCCTCTGTTTGACAGAAGCTGGGAATGGGCGACGGGATGGATCACTTGATGACTACCTGTTCTGTTCATTTCCTCTGAAGCACCTGGAATTGGCCACTGTCAGAAGACAGGATACTGGGATAGATGGACCTTTGGTCTGACCCAGTATGGCCGCTCTTACGTTCTTATGAGCCAGACTGGGGATGCTGATGGACACACTGGGAAATGTCAGGGAGATCTGCGAGCCCCGGAATGGGGAAGGCTGTATCTGACTCTGCACTGGGAAACGTGTATATATGGAAGGGGCTCTGAATCCCCAGAATGATGGAGACTTGATGTGTCAGTGAGGTGTTGTGTTCAGTCTGAATGTGCTCTGTGAAACTGCTCTCCACTCTGGTGGCACCGCGCCCCTTGCTGCCCATGCACAGAACAGCTTTGATGCCTCTTGTAGGGGAAATCACTTGGGAGTGACTGTTCAGGATGCTACACAGGGAACATATGAATGACACCTATTGTTAGTAATGCTCCAGGGTTGAATGCCTCTACTTGCTCGTTAATGGCCAGCTCTCTAAGCACAGAGCACCAGTTAGAACATAGCTGAGGGAGGGAAAAAATGTACTGGCAAAAAACCCTGGATAGATCTCACTGGAGGATACAATAGCTCAGCATATCGCCCTCTAAACAAAACAATTGCTCTCACCCTGAGCATTGTGCTTACATTGTTTATTGTTTGCTTTGTCGGTGTACGGTAGCTGTTCATGATGGGAATCAATAGGACAGCGAGATTTCCTTTAAACTGGTCATAGATACTTATAATCTACAATGCTATTGCAGTATTAGTGCATTTGTGGCCCATAAATCAGTATATATTATATACATATTTGTTCTTATTTTTGTAAACATATTACAAGGGTCAGATTCTCTATGGGCAATTTGTTTAAAAAACAGAGCAGTATAAATAAGTTAAAATAAATGACTAAGAATTATAACATCTGGGTATATTAAAAGTCCATTTCAGGAAGTCTTCTTTCAGGACTATTCTCTCTCCAGATATGTTGTACAAGAGAAATGGCATAGCAATAATATTGGGAACATAGGAATCCCCATACCAGGTCAGACCAGAAACCTGTCTAGTCCGGTATCCTGTCTCTGACAGTGGCCAGTACTGGCTGTTTCAGAGGAAGGTGCAAGAAACTCCTTAGTGAACAGTTATGGAATACCCTGCCCATAGAGGAATTTTCTTCCTAACCTCCTCAGTTAGTGGCTGTCAACCTGTGGCCATGAGTATTTATATTCCTTCTTTTTAAAAAATGTTTGTTTAAGTCTATCTGATGTCACTGTGAATGTTCTCATTATTAATGTAAATGTCTAATCCTTTTGTGACTCTTACTAAACTCTTGGCATAACTGATATCTGGTGGCAGTGAGTTCCACAGGCTAGCAGTGTTTTGGACATTCAGTGCACTGTGCAGCCACCCTGATTCATCCGCTGCTGCTCTTCTCCTTCCATGGATAATTTGGCAGTTGCTCTGAATGGGAATTAGGCTGGCCTGGGGGGTTCAATCTGTAAATTGGAAGATAAATCCTTATAGATTATATTTAAATTGAATAGCTAGTTCTGTATTCATTTACTTCATTACTATTTTATTATGAACAATGACAACAGATTTTATTTGACTTTAGCCCACTAACACGTAACCCCTTCTCCTGAGTGCTGAACTTCCACCCAGTCCAAACTCCCCAGTGCTCACTCTGGCAGGGACCTGTCCCTGCTCAGCTTATCTCAGGTGTGGTCCTGAACCCCTCTAACTCCAGGAAAGAAGCATGCATGTTGTTAAGACTGGTGCTACACCAGTATTGTGTATTTTTCAGGGCCTGTGACCCAGCCTCAGATATGGAGCAATTCTAGCCTGGCAGGTTCACCGATTGAGTTATTCTGCAACGTGCCAGAGAGAACAGTGGAGAACATTGACTGGGAGAAAGAAGGACGCCCACTCCCCCAGGAAAGATGTTACCTTCTTTCTGAAAATGACAGTGTGTTGCACATTGGGAAAGGGGAAAAATCAGACTGTGGCTCCTATTCCTGCAATGTCAGCAATGATATCAGCTGGCAGGAATCCTCGCTGAACTTGATCATTGTCGGTAAGTGTTGCATTACTCCTGGGCTTCAGTTTATCGTGGGTAATTCTGTGGCCGCACCAACCAATGGCCATGGTTCGGTGTTCCTGGCCAAAGGGAGCTGTGGGAAGCAGCAGCCAGCGGCCCGCCGCTTCCCGCAGCTCCCATGGGCTGGGAACAGTGTACCACGGGCACTGGGAGCTGCAGGGGGCCGTGCCTGTGGACAATCATCATCAGCAAAATGTCTCACAGCCTGCAATCAGATTACCCCGATGGGCCGCAGGTTGCCCACCACTGATATAGATCCTGTCTGAATACATTTCTACGTTGGCCACTAGACAGCAGTTTATGAACCGAGTTTGTAGTTTCCCAGTGGTTGGTAGATGTGTTGTATCAGGTCAAAGGTGAGCAGTGTAACACCCAGAACTCTCCTACCTATTGATGTGCTATTTGACTACATTTACTTGAATGAACACAGTAATGATCTCGCTTCGTCCTGCTATCGGTGCAGCTCTGCAGAAGAGGTTAGAACCCAGCTGGAAAGGTTTGTCTTTGGGACCAGGTGCCATCACTGGCAGGGGGTAGCAATCCTCTCATGCACATCCTCAAGCAGAAAACATCCTGGCTCCCAACAGCTTTCTCAACAGCTCCCAATCTCTCACAGCCTCTCCATTCTATTCTGTTTGTTGATTATTTCTCTTCTGTTTCCCCATAAGACTGGGATTTATTTTCTCCACATACCAGGTATCTCGCCTCCTCTAGAACATGCTTTGAAAATGTCTGCTGTTGCTTTGGTGTTTGCTCTGGCCTCTGGAATGGGCTTCTTTGTCTTGTGCTGCCAGTCAGGAAAGCAAAGAATCAGTAAGTATTTTATGTGCCTGTGGCTCTTGGATAGTGTCTGTTGTACACAAAATTAAACCCTCTTCTCTTCTTTGCTTGAGATCAAATCAGATAATGGCAGGCAGCATTGGCCGATTGCTTTCCCCTTAGCCTCCCAGGATATGTCTACACTGCAATACAAGGCCTGCAGCATGACGCGGCTGGCCCAGGTCAGCTGACTTGGGCTCTGACTGCAGGGCTATAACATTGCAGTGTAGACATTCGGGCGTGGGCCTAATTCAAAGGCCACTGAAATCGGTAAGAGCCTTTCCACCAACTTCAATAGGCTTTGGGTCAGGCCCAAGATGAAGGTCTCACCAGTGTAGCAAGATCAGTCTATTGGTTCTGATCAACCCTGTGTGGAAATCCTGGGGAGCGTTACCCAGTTCTAAACAGCAGCTGCAGATCCCAGCTCCACTGCTCGTACTCAGCATAACAAACAGGATTGAACTCTTCAGACCCTGTTCTGTCTTGATTTCTAAACATTCCCTACATTTGGGGCCAGATTCTTCCACCCTTACTCCTGGAGAGTAGTACTTCGCTCTGCACATCAGCACTCACTGACAACAATGCTTAATGGATTATTGTTCACTGTACCAATGGCACAGCCTCTGTTTGCTCTGATATAAAATGTGTCATGTCCCATGCTTTAGGAGCATCAAAAATTATAAATGAATTAATTATTAACTTACCCCTGCCCATCCAGATTCCACCCCCACATCCCAACCAACACACACTCTAACCCACCTGCACTTTCCTTATCCCATCTGTAAAAGCAATCGAGAATAGCTATGCCTTGCAGCCTGCCTGGTTAGTCAACAGACTCAATCTCTGTCTGACCAAGGACGGAGTTGGCAGCCCTGTACTGAAAACAGCTTGGCACCAGTCCTGTCTCTTTTAAGCCAAGAAGCTGCCAGCTGCTGAGAAAGGACGGAGGGAACAGCTGTCTGAGGCAGACGGGGCACTAACCATGTAGGGCTTTACGGGTGAAAACTGATTCTGTGAATGACACCCAGGATATGCAGTGGGTGCAAAGTGCTCCCGAACTGGAGCACGGATGCATCCTGCACCTGCAAGGTGTGGTTGCGGCTCCTGTAAACATATGTAAGCTGAGTTTGGAACCTTCATTGTTGTCTGGTTCAGGAGGAAACCAGGTGGGTTCTCATGTTTTCACCTGAAACTAGACAAATCTTTGTGGCTTTAGCTAAGTTTCGCTTTGAGTTTTGGGGGTTGGTTTGAAGCTCAGGGGGAATAAACCTCAGGCAAACCAAAGCTGAGAAAGTTTGTGTCACCCCTTGAAAACAGAATCCGCGGAGCCTGAGGTTTCATGCAGCTCTGGGCACTCACTGTTGGTGTGTCTATTGTTTTTCTAGAGGGGAAGACCTGGAGATGGATGATCATATTCATTCAGGGTCTGGTGTGTGTCTCTTCCATCTTGCTGTTCGCTGCAACTGTCCTCTGGATGCAGAAGGAAGGTAGAGTCTCCCTGGCTCTGATACTAACAAATGTGTGTGCTTCAGATTGTAAGGAGATGAATGAGGTGAATTGAATGAGTCTATGAAGAGAGAAGAAACCTACAGTTAATCAAAGGGGAGGGTGATCAGATTCAGAGTCACATCTGAAGCTAGTGTAAATCAACATAGTTCCAGTGAAGCCAGTGGAACTACACGGATTTACTCCAGCTGAGGATCTGGCCCTCAGTAAAAAAACAGGACAACTGTTGCATGCAGGGGGAAGGAAAGGTAGCACCAGCAGTGATTTTGGTGGGTTTCAAAGAGGAGTGTACTAGAGGCTTTGAGCATTTGGGGATGGTGGAGGACTCATACGGGGGTGGGGGGTATGGTGGCTCATTTCAGGGCAAGGAGGGTAGTGTGGCAGGATTGGCTGTGGTGGACCTTCAGGTGCATGTGCATTCAGCCACCCTGTTGTCGGTTTCACTGGCTGACCTAGGTAGTGGCCTGATCAGGTGGCCGGGGTCAGCAGGGGCGACAAAAGCTAGAATATTACACGGTATTTCAGAAACCTTCCAGGGACATGCATGAATGCCAGAACTGGCCAACTGAGAAATAGGTAGTGTGCAAAATGAAGGAAAACTTTAATCTTCCTATGCAACCAGAACTGGGCACCAAAATGGCCCCACGCAATCCAGTCCACCGAGACAAGGTCATGGAAGTAACACTCTTTTAGCAGCAAGGTCTTGGAAACTGGTATGTATCCGAGATCGTAGATACTGGTTGTCACAGTTGAGCAGGAAATGGGCACATCTTGTAGATGTTGCAGAGTAGCTTAGGATGGGAGGAGAGGGAGCAGCAGGAGTAGTTGATGTATAATAAGGGTGCGATCTATATGTTGACTGAAGGTTTTGGTTTATAGTGAATTCTACCCAGTGTTGCCTCTTGGGGTGAAACTGCAACCTCCTTTAAGCTGTAATGCCTCAGCCTGCAGCACTCAGCACTATCCCTTTGCCAGTCACTTTTCCAGTCCACAGGTGCAACTGCTTACCCACTATAAACTTCATCTCCAGCCCGGGAGCCAAACTCTGCCATCTGCTATGCCCCTGCACCCCATTGACTTCACTGACCTCAATGGGGTCTCACTGGTGTAACTGAGGCCAGACTGTAGCCCCATCTGTATAGTGCCCAGACCCAATAATGATTTCTCGCTGACATTCGCCTTTACTAAGCCAGATTAACCATATCAGTCTCTCTAATTCTGGTTTAATTCTCCCAGGTCCCTCTGCTGCCTTCATATTGCTTCAGATTTTGTTTGTATATGTGATAATAGTAACGGCCCTGATATCAGCAACGTTGGTGTGTCAGCCTGCAAAGCTCAGTGGATTTAAGACCAAACCATGTGAGTCATTCTATTTATGATTCAACTGTTGGGGGACAGGTGGTGAACTGATTTATTTCCTAAATGGGATTGAGGAAAGACCCTGATAGGCCTCACTAAGTTAGAGGAAAGGGCTGTACAGGGGGCTTTTACTGGTACTAATATTGACACACACACACACTGCAGCCCATTCCCTTCACATTCACTGCAAGGCCTATCCGACATCTAACTCTTAACCTGCCCTGCCCCAAACATATGACTTTAAAAGGTGGAAATATGGGCCGAGGAGAGGGCAGCATGAAAGGACGTGGGATTCGCTTCTGAAACCTCTGGGTCATGAATCAGCATTTTGGATGTGTCAGTCACTTTACTGCAGCAAGCGGTGAGATAACACCACGTATGCGGAAGGGATGAGTGAGAGACTGAAGGTATAATCAGGTGGAGCTGAGCAGCTTGATGGTGACCAGCAGAGCTGTAGGATGGCTTGTCTGTCTGCTTAGCTGTTGAATTTGCACTGGCTTTTTAAAATATCAGCTACCACTAGATGACACTTGATTCCTGTCCATTTCTTTCCATAACTCTGGTTTGTAATAGAACGCAAAGCCCCATGATCTGACCCGTTTACTGCATGAGGCACTCCTTGGAATCATGCTCTTGTACATAGCAGAAATGTCCTCATACGGGAACTTTTATAACACATTTGTCTCTCTGCCTTCACATGTTTCCCTCTCTGTCCCAGGGCAGCGTGTCATCCTGGACTCTGCAGCCCCTGGAGCAGTGATATTAGTGGTCCTGTTTGCCAGCCTCCTACTCCAGAAAATCTACAAGCTCCAAGGTGAGAACAGACCCTCTAGTGACCTATGTTTACGCTGCATATTTCCCTGAGAACAAACCTTCACCTCTGAGAGCTGGAGGTTCTGCATGGGCGGTTCTTGCTGCAGAGCCTGGTGTAGTGACCCCCCATCACTGGGAGCCGCTTGTATCAAAACATGGGGATACTGCACATGAACTCTGAACATGTCTGTGCTACATGAGTATCCACACACAGCACTGATCTAACACCCAAAGTCCCATCCCGCCGTGCCCTTGGCTCAGCAGAAAACCTAGGAGGGGTTTTCATAGAATCATAGAATATCAGGGTTGGAAGGGACCTCAGGAGGTCATCTAGTCCAACCCCCTGCTCAAAGCAGGACCAATTCCCAACTAAATCATCCCAGCCAGGGCTTTGTCAAGCCGGGCCTTAAAAACCTCCAAGGAAGGAGACTCCACCACCTCCCTAGGTAACGCATTCCAGTGCTTCACCACCCTCCTAGTGAAATAGTGTTTCCTAATATCCAACCTAGACTTCCCCCACTGCAACTTGAGACCACTGCTCCTTGTTCTGTCATCTGCCACCACTGAGAACAGCCGAGCTCCATCCTCTTTGGAACCCCCCCTCAGGTAGTTGAAAGCAGCTATCAAATCCCCCCTCATTCTTCTCTTCTGGAGACTAAACAATCCCAGTTCCCTCAGCCTCTCCTCATAAGTCATCTGCTCCAGACCCCTAATCATTTTTGTTGCCCTCCGCTGGACTCTTTCCAATTTTTCCACATCCTTCTTGTAGTGTGGGGCCCAAAACTGGACACAGTACTCCAGATGAGGCCTCATCAATGTCGAATAAAGGGGAACGATCACGTTCCTCGATCTGCTGGCAATGCCCCTACTTATACAGCCCAAAATGCCGTTAGCCTTCTTGGCAACAAGAGCACACTGTTGACTCATATCCAGCTTCTCGTCCACTGTGACCCTGTAATAGTCCGGTGCGGGAGCTGGGCCCTCTTAGGGGCCGTCGGGAGCCAGGCCGATTCACTAGGCGGCCCCAAATCGGTCCTCGGGATCCAAAAGTCTCGGGGCTCCGCCCCTCAGGCAGGGGCTAAACAAAAGTACACGGTTAAACGGGCCCCAAGCTAGCTCAGTGCGGGGCCACACGCAAGGGTCCGAGGGGCTCAGAGCCTCCCTGTAGGCTGGGCCAATACCGTGACTAGCTAAGCCTCGGCCCTCAGTCAAGGCGGGGCACCTAACACGTAGGGTTAGGGGTTTTTGGGCGCCAGTCCTTGCCTCAGGGTTGGGCAAGCACACAATCGCAGGGCTCAGTCCTTCCCTCAGGAGCTGAGCACGAACAAAGTCTAGCAGCCCAGGCCCTTAGTCAGGGCGGGGGACAGCAACCAATAGTCCAGGGGGCTCAGGTCCTTGTCGGGAGCTGAGCTCAAACAAAGTCTAGTAGCCCCGGCCCTTAGTCAGGGCGGGGGGTAGCAACCAATAGTTCACGGGGCTCAGGTCCTTATGTCAGGACCGGGCACTAAACAGAGTCAGTTAGCCCAGGCCCTTGATCAGGGCGGGGCAGCAAACAGAGTCAGTTAGCCTCGGCCCTTGATCAGGGCGGGGCAGCAAACAGAGTCAG